TGTATTCCTTTTCTTACTGAATGGATAGATCTGACCCCTTCTTATGATATGTATTCCTTTTCTTACTGAATGGATAGATCTGACCCCTTCTTATGATATGTATTCCTTTTCTTACTGAATGGATAGCTCTGACCCCTTCTTATGATATATATTCCTTTTTTACTGAATGGATAGCTCTGACCCTTTTTATGATATGTATTCCTTTTCTTGCTGAATGGATAGCTCTGGCCCCTTCTTATGATAAAATTTTAAGCACACAGCACTAGCTAAGCTGAATATCTAGCTACATGCACTTCATTATCATAATCACTGCCACAAACATATATGGGACACACAAAACAACCTTTGTTTTAACTTTGAAAAGTGTATTATTAAGTAAATATTCTGAGAAATAGGTAAGCAATAAAATCAATAATTTTATATTTAATCTAAAAAAATTATAAATGTTGCATATTAACTTGCAAATCTTGGAAATACATGAAGGAATAAGTATCTCATTTTATGCTTCTCACAATCTGAGAACATAATTATCTGTAAAATATTTCATGGAATTATCTCACATAAAATACAATGTAGGTATAACAAATCAAAAGAAAAATATAGTAGTTATACAACACCATATGTATTTCTCTGTATATTTAAGTATAAACCAATCACTGGGAGAGTTATTTATCTATAAATGTGGCAGTGAAAGAGATAAGGATATGGTGTGTTAAAATCAGACAATAAAAAGTTTTAAAAAACAATTAGAAACTATAAAATCTCAAACTAGATCACAGAGAGATCATTGTACTTTAAATATAAAAGCAGAAGGTGAGTGAAGTTATGAAGATAAAGAAAAAATCAACTGCAATTACTTTCTATAATGCTATTGTAAATCAAGTAGAAAACGGTATTCACCCATGCAAATGTCCTGTAATTAATGCCATATTTCTAAGACAGTTGAGTAAATGCTGCTGAAAGATACTAGATGACTTCATTGTTCATTAAACAAATTAAATAAATGAAAGGTTATAATGTATGCAAACTTCAAACTGGTAACTACTGAGAAGAAGTGTCATCACGTAGTAACAGGCATGTGCATAACATTCCTTGCTGAAGACACAATCTCTTAAAGACAAGGAATCTTTGAATATGTTGTTGTTGTTTTTCACAATTATTTTTTGTACTAAATTATTAGGATAAAAATCTACTGACCCACTGGAATCTTTGACTCTATGAGCAAAACAAAAGCTGTATTTAAACAATGAGTTGTTACACACACTAAATGTACATGCAGTGTAAATCATGCCTAAAGTTTATTAATCCTGTAAGACATGCTGCAAATTAAAAAAGTGTACTTTTGGAGCTAGGTCATGAACATAGTGTTAACAAACACTTAGAAAGTTCACCAAGAACACACAAACTAGAAAATAAAAAACAAACCTATTGAAACTAATACAAAAGATATACATTATATAAATGCTACACTTAACATGGAATAAAATGAAAAATTCAAAACAAGAAACATGATTTTAGGCATTTATTTCTTTTTTCTTTTGTTTTCCAACTTTCCTTCATTCATTTCCTTTATGGGCATTAAATTAAATGTCAATTAAATTAGATAATCAGTCAGGAATTAAGTAATTAAGTATAACACATTAATGGAGGGATGACAAAGTGTAAGTTCTTAATTTCTAAACTTAAAATTTATGATTTTATACACAATTTCCAAAATAAGAAATTTCCTGTAATCATTTATTAGTGACAATTTCTATCTTTAGACTACTAAGATCAGAAGTTATTTCATCAATAATTTGCATAGTAGTAGCCTTAACAAGCTCGATGTCTCAAATAGCAAGGTAATTCAGCTTACAAAGCACATTAATAAATTTCACTAGCAGGGGAAATTATTTATCCTGAAATAAACGTTTATAATAAATGTGATTGATCAACTGTGATATCAAAATGAAAACCCATTTTTGTATTTGTCTGAAACAGAATGAGAGCTCCAAGCACTCGTATATCTTACTTGTGTTTAAAACTAATACTGACTTCTCCATCTAAGAATACCATTAAGTGAGAAAGTTATTCCAAATACTGGTTAGGGCAAAAGTTTTATTCTTTCAACTTTTATTTTAATGAAACAATCCATTTTATAAAAATATCTCCCAGTTGTTTTGCCTATTAGTTCCAGCCTTCAAGTTGTTTATTTATCGAAAAAAGCTATTATTGTGTGCAAAAATTCTTGAATTACAATTTCTGGTAATACAAACTTTAATTTGGCTACAACATTACCAGTCTGTAGGCCTAAAAATCTGTGATAACAATCATGTAAACTGCATGCTTGTTTTTTTCACATCTGTAGTTTACATGATTTTTATCACAATTTTAGACTTACTAGTTTCTATTGCTTCACTAACTTTTGGCACTTAAACCATAACTGTTGAAGTATTATTTTATATATCTAAATAATGTTTCAGAAAATCTTTTGTTTCTTGTCATCCAGTTCAACTGATGAGTTCTGGCATTGGATGAAAAGCCTCTTGAGGGAAATAAAAGATAGAAATGTTATTCTTACATGCCTCTGATTTTGAATTAAAAACAGACAAATTAAGAAGATTTTGAAAAAAACATCTGCAGTTTACATGATTTTTATCACAAAATTTATGCCTATTGGTTTCTAATGCTATGCCTGCTTTCAGCATTTAAACCATTACCAGTTTATACTTGCTAGATCATGCCTTGTATAATTAAAATCTTGTACATTAGCTCTCCATACAAAATACATTAATTTCCAATACAAATTCTGTACAGCTTTTTGTGATATTTTTTACTTTTTAAAAAGTTTTTCCAAGTAAATACCTAGAGAAATCAATAACGTACCAACTTTCCTTGAGACTGCTTTACATTTTGTATTTGTGGCTTATCACATAAGGCTATAGAGAATATATTTTCAACTTTTCCATCAGCAACCAAAGCATCAAAATATGGAGTAACGGATGAATCTGGCTATACGAGAGAAATGAAACAAATACATGATTACATTACACAGATCAAAGTCTCTTTATGCAAAGTATATTCAAAGAACACTGAAATCCTGCATTCACAATCAAACAAACAATGGTAGGATATATTGCATATGGATATTTTTGAACATTTAACAAGCTATAATTTCCAAACATTTAACACTTTATGTTTCCCAACAAGAGTGATTAATGACATAAATAATTAATAAACACTATACTAAAAATCATATTCTAGCTGCACTAACACTCTGTTAAGAAGGTATAACAATGGAATTAGTAGGTTTGTGTGACAAGAAGGGACATGAATCAAAATTTCAAGAATATATAGACTTAAATACACAAATAATACATGATAAAAACATAATTCTTAATAGAGGCTTGACTTATTATTACATTTATTTCTTATTTATACATGCACCGTATAAATATAAATTAAAATACACCCGTATCAATTTGAGGGGATTTTCAATGTAGAATATTACAATTTCTATGGTCTGTCTGTCAAAGCTAGCTACAGCACTTAACAGCTGTGACAACAGGGGGGAAAGACACATTAAATCTGCAGCAGTTTTTTTTCTTCAGTGTTAGATACAGCAAATTAGAAATTACCTTTAGCATCCCTCTCCTTTCTCTGCTCTACAATATGATACAAACAAGAGCAAGACAGGAAGCAAATAAAAACAAATTAGTCACAGACAGTAAAATAAAGTTACAGACAAAATCTTTATTAATCAAATAGGAAAATTAACATGAGCAAAAATTTCTTATTGATCCTTGTGTATACATAAGGAATAAAATGTAGCATGAAGATGGAATCTCCCCATTTCACTCGAGAAGTACAATTACTTTGGTAATTTAAAACAACAAAAAGCAAATATAAGCTTAAAATGTGCAAGCTTGTAGTGTAGTCCAAAGAAATGCAGTGCTGTCCAAAAATGCAGGTTAAAATGTGTTATTTTAATACAGAGAGCCTTATTTTTAAACAAACTTTCATGTTTTAGGAAGTAATCATACACTTAACAAAACTCCATTTTAGACTTAAACGAGTATTTAAAACTTGATAACACTGGTTTTTGAAATCAGTGGGTGCAACTTATGCTGGAACAAGTTGTTACCAGTTTGTAACAAGCATTGCCCTTAGTGTCTTTAAAAAGCCTCAACAGAATATACACAATTTCTTTACAACACTATAAAACAATGCAAAATGTATTTACACTTCTACAGCATCATTCCTGTATAGTTCTCATACAGCATCAATGAAGATTATTCATGAAAGAAAACTTTTCACACAAATTTTTAAAGCTACAGGAACTATTTTTCTTCAGACTTCATTGCTGTGGTCTAGAGCAGGGATTCTCAAACTGTAGTACAACATACTGCTGGTGGTACGTGGAGCTAATGTCGGTGGTACACGACACAATTAATATAAAAAAATCATCTGAGCTTTTCACGTACATATACACACTATTCTCCTCAATTACAGACTCCCCCTCTACCTGCAAAGACTCCCAAGTACTTTCTTCCCTTCAAACTGACAAAAATGATACCATATATTTTTCAATCATGCCAGAAAAAACAATCACATCCTTCGCATTAATGGGTAAGTGTTAAAAATACGAATTTTTGTTACTAGGTTTTTTTATCTTTTTTTTTTTTTCAATTAGGCCTGGGTTTGTAATTTTAAAAAAATTACACAAAAAGTGGTACACAAGCCTGAAACGTTTGAGAACCACTGGTCTAGAGTTTTTAGAGCAGCTACATTAATGTATGGATTCACTAAAAATCAGTATATATTTTCTTAGTGAAATAAAATGTATCACAAATTTTGTTAATTCCTAAGTAATATCTTTTTTAATGTTTTTACATTAAAGGTACAAAACTTAAGTTAAAGTATTTCACCTTATTATGTAGCAAGTAAATTACCAAATCACTAAGTAAAGCTTTTTTTTTTAAAAAACAAGTAAAGCCAAATGGGTTATAAAAATAACATAGCTTGATATTCAACATAGGAGCTTTCATTACGTCTTACGGTGAATTTGTTAGAATAGAGAAAACTTGTTTGGAGAATGAACTATGATCTTTTAGACTTATAGAGCCATATTAAGCCTCCATACAAGTACATCATTGATGTGTTTTATACAGCAATATTTTATATACATTTTTCAAAACATTCTGTTTACAAAATAAAAACTCTCAATAGACATTTCTTTCAAAAAATGAAACTTACCTTTGCCACAGCAGAGTAGGCAAGTCCTAGCAAGCCCTGCCAATTAGAAACATTCGAGAAAACATCTTCAGATGAAAGAATACAAGCTACATTACACCGAGTCGTAATGGACGGTGAGTTGGGGATAGAAATCAGGTCTGAGCCCAGTGTTCCCGACCACTGACCTTGTACATACTTGATTTTTACTGACTTTCCAGTTAAATGAAATGACTCAGATCTGTAAAATAAAAAAAGTTTCATTTTATTCATCATGAAAAAATCTTTAAACTTTTTTGATATATATATACTTAATAAAATGTTTCTCTTTTGAAACTAATTTGTTTCTATGAATACCAATCAAATAACAAAGCATAAAAAAGTTAAATAGACTATAGTAACCAATTTTGGTAGGAACCAAACTTAACAGTAACTCAATATAAAGAATTGCTTAAGATAAAAACAAAGCAAAAATAACAAGAAAGACATATTACATTTGGATGCTACAAAATCAATATATAAAGAGGTTGAATTTTAAGGTTCCTTCTATTAAAAAAAATTGTATGTAAATAGGAAAAATGACTGACAAAATGTTGTTTTAAGTACATTAAGGGTGATAACAATTTAAAATAAAACTTAACAAATGGGTTTTGCTTACAAGGATTTATTTTTATTTGTTACATTTGAAATTTCTAAAAAAATGATTTATATTTGTTTTTATTTATTTCTAGTAAAGTTTGAATTATATGTCACTGAATATATTTCTACATTAACCTTCTCTATACATGCTTGGTCAGTTTGTGCCAACATGGCAATCACCACATAATCATGAAACTATACATAATTGAACAGAGTAAGCATGTATTCATAAAACTTAGCAAATTTTTAGTAATATTACAAATGTTTTGTATAAAAAATTAGAATTTTTAAGAACATATATTTTTTACAAAAGATTTGTTTGTGAATTTAAGGAGTCAGACTCTGACTAACTTACCTTTTTACTTTGTAGACTGACTACAGCTTGTAACAGAAAATTACAATTATTTATTCTAAATGGTCTCAAGCTCATAAAACTTTACATGTATTTATATCTAATTTTATTGTTTCACTGTAATTTGAACAGTGTCTCACTATTTAACTTTCATAACAAGTTAGAAATCACCCAGCAAATGCACAGCTCGAGTTACGATATTGAATTATGTAACACAAGGTTCTTTTGTACATTCTTCACAGTGAAGTATTTTTGTTTTTTAATCTAACCCAACAAGTTTCTAATTGTTACATATTAGTTACTTTTACAACAATAAAAATACCTACAAAACTAGAAATTTAATACCTATGTGTTAGTCTTATACATCTTTGCTGTTGAAGATTTGAAGTGTAGACAAATATTAACCCTAATTATTGATAGGTTTGTTGTTAGCACTTTACTAATAATAACATGCACCTAACATATAATGTCCTATAACTATCATAATTAACTAGCTTCCTGACTAAGCTGTAATGTATTAAAATAATTCCCTTAGCTGGTCGAGTTGAACCTATTGATAGTAACTTTGAATCTGTATGCTGTCAAAAGTTGTCATAAGAATGCATTATCAAAAAGGAATACTTGCAAAATTTTAGGTCAAATACCAGGAAAAGAAATTATGTTCTGTGTATGCTTTATGCAAATGACTTTAAAAATCATCTATACAGTGTATCATGTAAAATAGTAGCCCACAGGACATTGAAACTTGTCTTACTACACTAAAGAAACATTTTTTTTAACAGAAGTTCAGGAAAGAAAAAATTCTTTTTATTTAACTACAATGTTTTGAGCAACTGCTCTTCCTAAGGTTTGTAAAACAACAAGATAAACAAATCTAACTAGTTTATTTTACAGATGTGGCTCCAATAAAGTGTAATAATCTTTTGTCTTAAATGTTTTATGTAAATGAAGACTGTTTATAAAGATAAATTATTCACTGAATGATTATAATAATAAAAAAAGAATTAGTTTAGTGAAAGAAGCTTAAAACTGAAAATACAACTTTGATAAGTCACTAATCTAGACTTGTGGCTCTACAAATGCAAAAAAACATGGATTTAAACGACAATACAAGGATCAAATAAAGAAGTAGTTGTCTATGAACAGTTAACAGTTTTCTAATCTGAAAATGTAGTTACAATAGACACTCACCTCTCTTCACACAGAAGTTAACATTTTCCCAAATTGAAAATGTATTTCCAATAATACTTACCTCCTCTCACACTACAGCTATTACTCGACTGCCAGGATTTCTTCCTTTGCCCATCTAAGCATTGGTCTGATTTTTTTCTCACTTGCTCCAGTCTTTTATACCCCACTCAATTGCTCTTTGCAATATTTATCTCGTGACCCTCTCCACCTACATCAATGCACCCTCTATTCTGGTATTGTATATAAGCACGTCATTCAGATTATGTTATCACTTTTTCGAGACTGATTGAATCTCGGTCTCTAACATGAGCTCTGAATGGGAAAGAAGGGCAGTAAAGTGTGATCACAGGTTAATATTACTGGAAATACATTTTCAATTTAGGAAAATGTTAACTTCCAAAACATACTTACCTCCTCTCACACTGATAGCTTGAATCTCACATTGACAAGGTTCTGGAGGGGCCGGTGAGGGCATCATCCATACAGAAAGTATCTGTATAGATCTTAGGTGTGTCAATATCAAATTGGCACCCTACTGGGAGAACTGCACTACATCCAGAACAGGTTTCTGTATTATGGGTGGAATTTGACCTGATGTATCATCACTATAGGCCAGGCCCCAACCAGATAGCCAAGGTTACACTACTTGGGG